ATTTTTAAATTTATAATTAGAATTATTCTAAAAGCTAATACTCCCAAAAAGATATTTCTTCTTAAATTCTGCAGATTCTAGTTCACTACACTATAAAACGATTATGAATTAACAACTATCCATAAACGAAAATTTTTCTTTTAATCACCAAAAAATTACAATTCTGAATCACAGAAGGATTATAGATCTGAATCCATAACGAATAATCTCCTTCACAAAACATCACTTTATAAAAATATATATATATATATATCTTTGATCCCGTATCAGGGTTAATAAAGCACCGTCGAGTGATGGCCGAACGATGAAATATCACCGAGGTCTTCATCATTAACTACATATTTAACATTTCTCGAGCAACCCTTACGAATTCACAAATATGATTTCGATGAGGCACGTGTTTCGTTATTGTATCGATGCACTCCGGCACGACTGTGAATAAAGTCAGTACGTAACTGGCCGGCATGCTGGCAGGTTGGGTTTATATAGCGTGGGTCTAATAAGATGATACCTGAACGCGTGTTGGGACCGAAGCAGAAGAACAGAAAGAGGGGACCAATGATGCATGTTGCCTTGTTTCGCCTTACCTTGCCTCACCTTGCCTTAGAACCTTATCATGATTGATCTGGATTGTTAAGATGCATCTTGCACCACTTTCTTCTTTCATAAATTGGTATTATCAATGTTAACTTCTTGCCATTTTGTGAATTGTTTAATTCTTTAATATATGTGCTTTAATATAAATCTTGATTCATAACGTTTGGAAGATATTCTGTATTACATTTCCAAATAACAATGTTTCAGTTTCTTGACTCCTTTCTAGTGAAATTTCTTAGATTTTATTATCCAGCTTTAATCTGAAATATTTTGGCTTATAAATATTTATAATTTTTAGCAACATATTTTCAGATTACTTTCTTCACCACAAAATTCATTTTTTAATTATAATAATCTTTTAGAGCGCATAATCTCCAAGTACAAAAATAACAGAAAAACATCATTTTCTACGTTACATTTCCTTCATTATTAATTTTAATAGAGCTCCTTTCTCATAGCAGCAATGATAATTACCATGTAGTCTCCATTTCATCGGAATACGGAAATCTGTAATACAAAAAACTAATTACAAAGATATATCGTGAAGCAATTATGTATACTTTATAAAGATGTTGCGTTGACTAGTGTAATCAACATTATACTACCGTGAAGCAACTTTTACTATTATATTGTACTACTACTATTACTATATATTGTAAAAAAAAAAAAATTGACAAACCTATACATACTCGTTTAACTTCACCGTGAGAAGACATTAATCCGGATCAATGTGATCCAAATGATCTTTCGAGGCGCCTGTTGACTTCTAGCCTCGAAGGTGCAGCATGAAGAAGTCATTCCATCGATTATATATCGTGCTATGGATCAAAAAGAATTTGATATTTCATATTTATGTTTCTATAGAACAAAGATTGGATCATATTGAAGTATTTTGAATTTCATTTTCTCCTCATTATCTTACAACAAATGAAAAAATTAATTTGAAGAAAATTGTTTTATATGTGCCACTTCAAATAGTATAATTTTGTGAATTTTTTATAATACAATCATAAATACTCTGTAAATTATTTTTATTTCTTTGCACTTGTAATATTACGATTTGATAATTTTTTATATTTATCTGATTTTCATATTTTTATTAATATTGTCTTATTTAATATCATTTTATTCTTCATTCTATCTTGATAAGGAAAAGTTTTCCAAATAGATTAATTGATCCTTTTCAAGAAAATAAAAAATAAAAAGAATCCCTAGCATAACCAATGTACGCAGTATCATAAATAGAGAAAGGTACGCACACTCGGAATTGGTTAGCGAGCAATCCATCTCTTGCGCAGTCTTACGTAGTATTAGCGACCAGGTCAGGGCAGAGCATGATGTTATTTCAACCCTTTCATGGCCGAGGAGATGCTTTAATTCAGTCATAATATGACTGAACATTTTGAAGTAGAAAAAATGTATCATCACTTAAAGTTCAATAATTAATCTGATTACAATCTATACTATGTTAAATATTTAAAGAATATTTAAGGATATCAGATTAGAATCAATTTAAAATAGTATAAATTTAGAACTTTGATTTTTCTTTACTTACTGGTTTTATTATTATTTAAAATTTTAAATTTACTAATCTTTCATGAATAGAATTTTTAATTATAATTAATTGATATGTTGTCTCAAGTTAATGTCATTTGTCTCAAGTTAATATAAATAAATTTTTAAATGTTTCAATCCTCTTTGAAATTTAAAATCATAAATTACTTTTTTTCCTGAAATATTAAAATACATTAAATATTGTTGACTTTTTTCCTTTACATAAAAATTGATGATTAAATTGACTTATGCTTCACAATTGTATTGGTAAAATACTAAATATCAAGTTATAAATTTTCTATGTATTTTCTATGTGTCAGTGACATATTAGAACCGGTTATCATAAGATCAAACATATTTCTACTCTTCGCATATTCTATTTTTATTCATTTGATATATAAACAAGTCAATAATAAAGTTTATGTTAAATAAAAGTATCGATCTCAACTTTTGACATTTAAATAATAAAGTAGCCAGAAATTATAGATACAATAATACAATTTTAATTTCATTGTACCTGAGATTATATTTTTGAAGTTTAATTGGAAGAAGAAAAATAATGAATCATTAACTAGCGATCATGAATATGTAAAGCTTTTAGATTTATCTTGAATAATAATTACATATGAAATAATAATAATAATCATTTTGAACCACTATTCTTAATCATACATCCGCATCAAAAAATTAATAAAATTGCTTACTTTGTGGGGCATCTTCCAATTCTTATACTTCATTCTTATTCTTTCTCTAAAATTCTAGAAGATAATAAATTAATATTAATATAATAGATACTAATAATGTGCCACATATTCCAGCATCATTTATCTAAACAATCAATTTATAAATAATAAATATTTCTTTCATAACTTTTAAAATTTTACACATCAATCTTTTATCAATCATTACTTTATCTTCCAGCAATTGTAAAAGAAATTTACTAATGATTAATCAAATCTTATAAATTTTCCATTATAATTTTCTATTGAACGTATTGAATGCGAAAGAAGTTACGCATCGCTGATCGTGGGAAGTGGTGCAAAAAATATTGTGAAATGACCGCATGATGGGCTCCTAGCTTAGGACATCCATCTCGAACAGATTGCATCTTTTGTATTATGAAACTGATGTTAGAATATCATTAGACGAATTATCAGATAATTACGAATCTCGGTTACGCCCACTGGCGTGATTCAGAAAGAAATTCATCAATGAACATACCACAAACATCTTTAGTAAGAACAATTCTATAAGAATGACGTAAATCGATGTGCATGTCTCCATAGTGGGCGTCAAGATATTCCTCCATTCATTCGTATAGAATGATATTTTGTTTTTCGACGCTAGAAAAAAAAATTGAATTTTGAAATTGAATTTAATTTCCATAATCATCGGAGGAAAAATTGAATAATTATTTTTCGATCGATTTTTACCTTTCTTTTCTTGCAACTTCACTTTCTTTACGGAGAAAGCGGTCGAGTGAATTCCAAAGCGCCGATATCAAGTGTAAATTTATGAAACGCAAAAAGCTGAAATGTTACAGTGGACAATCGTCAAATTTATTTTTACTGCTTCGAGTGTAACTTCAGCGGAAGAAGAAAAAAATCCATGGTGGCGCCGGTGTGACTGTTGTGTAATCGCACGATCCTCGAACCGTTTTAAAAGTGGAAAACTTTTTAAGATTCCATGATCGTAAAGCGAACTAATTGCTCGGCTGGTGACGGCCGTCGGAGTCATGAGAAAGTTTTCTCTTCCAGCTTAATTTTTCCACGGTCATCAAGGCTGCAACATTCGCTGCGAATCGTCCTCTTCCTCTTACTGAGACTTGAGAAAGAGGTGAGAAAGAGCAAACTATTTTCTAATCTACTGTCGATATTGCATCTATATTCTCACCTTAAGATCATTTTTAGATTAATCAAGTTATCTTAATGAATTTAACTAACCACTTTATCTCTATCAATATGAATTTTATTTTTCAGATAACACGGAGATGTCAGAGATTTAGAAACATATTAAATATATTTCTTCACTTTAATGGTAAAGGCAAGATTGTAATTATCCTAAATAAATGAAAGAGTTTAAGTTTTTTTGAAAAAGTTTAAAATCTTATTTAAAATCTAAATTAATCATGTTAACAAGTGCTAAAGTTCAAATAACCACTTTGTTACTGTAAACTTGTTAATTGACTTGATATTGCCCTTTTAAATTTCAGAGAATTCATATACTTTTGTATTCTTCTTGAGCAGAATGTTATTTTTAATATATTATTTTTATTTTTGATAATATTCATATAAATCTATTACAATTTTCTATAAATATTTTGATAATCCAATTTTCTAAATATGTAACTAAACAAATTAAATGTGAATAAAGAATTGTTTTATTTTCTAAAATGATATTATAAATTAATCTAATTTATTGTAATTTTTATATTTTTGCTTTTTCGTATTTTATATGTCTTCCAGTCATAGATGAAGTTTGTATACTTATTCTATTCAATATATTATGTAAAACATAATAGATTATATATATTATAAAAAATACTTGAATAAACCATTAACTTTTTTACAAAGATAATAAAAATAAAAAAATAATAAAAGATAATAAAATTTTTTATTACTGGGTAATAGAAAGCCTACTATTATATTATGTTTATTAATTATATTCTGCATTGAATATATCTAGTAATTGCATTGAAAATGAATTTCCATCGTCTTTAAGTATCGATTGATAAAATAGTAGCAGAGATGAGCAATCAGAAGTGTAGTTATGGTTGCAACTACCAAATCGAATTCAACTGACGTACAGTAAATTTAATGAAATATCAGTGTTACAAGGAATCCGTCAATTATGGTCGAGCAGGTAGCCATTTCCAATTAAAATGCTTGTCAGGAATAATGCTTCCATATAAAGATACATATATCTTTGTCAATATGTGTTATTTGAAAAATACTTGTCAGAATATTTGGAAGAAGATTGTTTTTCAGTTTCTTTTTTACAAATGACAAATGCAAGTCATTTATTTAAGAGAAATCTTTCTTGTTGTTTGTTGTAGATTTTTTCAAATATTCATTTTAAAATAAAACAATTTAAAAATTAAAGAAATAAATTTCAAAAAAATTTTATCTTTTTAAAATCTTCTTAAATATATCTTCTTATAATAAATTAAAAAATAATAAAAATATTTAGGATATATATATATATAGAGAGAGAAGAGAGAGAAAGAAATGATTCTTATGTGAAAATGATGAATTAACTTTACAAAACTATGTCAAAAGTGATCTGCAAAGTCCCTGTAGAATTATCTATATCAACACAGATGATTCTTGCAATTTCAATCTTTCATTGCTATTCAAACTCCTTGACAAGGGTCGACATCACTTAAATTGTGATTGTTAGTCTGTACATGTCAATTCCAGGTTCAAATATATTTCCATCCATAAAGATTCAATCTCTATAATGAAACTATTAAAGATTCAATTATTTAGATGAAGTATCAAATGTATTCTTGATTAAGAATTTCTGAAATATTAGCTCAAATTTAAATTGGAATTTAAAAAGAAAGGTCACTTAAATTATCACGGATATAGGAATTGCAACATTTGAAAATAATATCTACGTGTAGGCATTACATACCATATTATTAGATATTATTAAAGCAATGGTTAATAATCCGCTCATGACTTGTAAAACGTCTTCACCGTGCATGTTAATCGCTAAAATGACAGGAGTAAGACAGACTCTCTCTTCAAGCTCCCGTGTAAATGCTCCCAGTTCATCATCCATTCTCTCTACATCTTCATTCTTCATTCTTCGTTTCAAAAAAAAATATTAATTATACATAATTATTGAATATTTGAAAAAAAAACTATCATATATTGACAGATAATAATTAAATATTCAAAAAAAAAAAAAGATTATCATGCATTGATAAATAACTTTTGAATATCTAAAGCTAGAAAGAAAACATTATCATGCACTATACATTTTGAATAGTTAAGGATTCAGAAATCTTCCAACAGTTTAATTTCAAGAGATAAAGCAGGAGATAGTAATATCCCAATCAACCATGAATGATTACTCTTATTCTTATTCTACTCTTATTCTAGATCAGTAGCTTATCCTTGTAAGTAGTTCATGATATGGGAATTGGCGGAAAGAGATGGTCGTGGTTTGACGGAGCACCCAGATTCTTGGTAAGCAGTAGGTCATCCGCGACTAGAACGAAGATTTTCACTTTCATCGTGACCGAGGGAATGTCTACTTGGATGCGCAACAGACAAAGGCGTCACGGCGCGAAGAAGCTGGCTAACTATGACACGCAACTTCGACAGAGGATCGGATATTCATAACCTTCCATTGAATTCGCGCACTCGTGCGAATTCTACGTTCCACTTGGTCTCTTCCTTTCATCACCTTGATGTGAAAACAGAAGATCCATAAGATCCAAACCTTACACCCCACTACTGGAATCTAATATTCGTAACTATAATTCATCAAAATTTACAAATATTTTTTTTATTTATTATATTATTTATAGATTGAATGATAAATTATTTTGAATTGATTGAATTCTTTGAAAAATGATGTAATACTTGATTGATAATTTTTTTTTCGATATTATGATTAAGATATTGCTTACTAATATCTTTGTTATTTATATTGTTAAGAATTGAATAAGAAAGAATAAAATGAAATTGTTCTTATTTAAAGAATAATGATAGTTATTCTAGAAATATTGATAAACTCTTTTTTAGTTAATAAAATAATAAATTATTTGATTGATGATTTCTTATGATACTGTTATTTCTTATTTAAAGTTATTTAGAGTGTCTATATTTAGAGTTTAAGTTTATATTTAATATAAAATTTATGTTATATATTTATTTGAAAATATGATATAAATTATAATAAGAAATTATATAATGAATTAGAATTTCCTCAAATTATTCTCAAAGTTATTATTTTTATATTACTATTACTTAAAAGTTATTTTAAAAGTTGCCAATTACATCACTGTTAGTTAAATGTCAATGTCAAACCTGGTTGATTATTATAACGAAAAAGGAAACTAGTGATTTTCATGATACACCATGTTGAAACGAGGACAAGACGCGCGATTTAAGATCTTCACGTATCATTATGTAGAATGTAGTAAACATAATAGTACTTCTCATTATGTCGATAATGAATACCTTTCAATATCAATTCAGTATTTCTGAAATTAAACACTTAGAATTATATTATATCTACTTAAGATCTATAACAATGAAATCTACAATTCTAGAATTAAAAATTTTGAAAAGGTCAAGGTTTTATAATCCAACTTTATAATTTTATTCGAATATAGTAATAATAAATTTTTGATATCAAAAATCGAAATTTTTGATATTGTCTTCCAAAATTTTAAAGAGTATTTAATATTTTAAAATTTTACAAAAACTAAACTTAAATCCCAAAATTGAACTGTAATCAAATATTTCAAACCATACAATCATAACTATTGTAATGTCTCATTCAAATTTTCAAAACATAAATAGCATTTAAACGTCAATTAGAATAAGAAAACGGATACAATCTTTTCTCTGTTTGTTTCATTCCTAAACCGAGTTTCATTCCTATTCTGTAAAGATCTCACTGCCAAATCTCACTGTCACGAAACGAGTTCATCTGAGTTTTTCAACCGTAGCAATAGCTCACACGGAGATCTGCATATTTCATGGAGCATCTAAACAATGTGAAACTTAAATATATTCTCTCTTAAATATTTTTTCTCTCTTTTTTTCATGAAAACATCTAGGATATCTTTATATTATAAATTTTCTTGTTCGTTCCTCTTTTCTTTTTTAATCTCTTCTTCATTTCTTTTTCACTTCTTCTTCACGACTTAAATCATTCGAAACGATCCTGACATTTCAGTTTCTTCAACCTTAAAGTCTCACCAAGATTAAATGATTCCCTCGTGTGACCTGCCTCACGTAAATGGTTGATCCAAATTCTGAAGAAAAGAGAACACAGAATTTAATTAGAATCACATTTAAGTATTAAGAAATTAAAAATAATAAATATAATTAGAAGAATTTTATCTTGAAAAGAAAAATTTCTATATTCCTTAATTAATTAAAAAATTACTTCCTGGTTTTTTTTCTTGATCACATGTTTTGCATTCCAATTTTGTTTGTTAATAAAACAGTGTCGCGTTGAACTTTTACTTCGCCTTAAACTTTAAGTATATACACTACACTGCAACCGCGCATCGGCCTCTTTGTTTATTCTCATAAAGGAGGTGAACAGAAGAATGCTATTATAATCCGGCAGGTTATCGTCAATCAGTTTTTTTTTCTGAATAATTAAATGATTGTAATTTTTTTCTTTTTGATTTACGAAATCAAAAATGCAAACTCTGCTGTATGTAACGCTTTGGCATTACATTTTCTTTCCTCTTCCTTTTTTCCTCACTTTTTTTTCTTTCTTTTCTTCATTCTTTCTTTATTCGTTCCTTCTTTGTTTCTTCATTTCCATTTTTCCTTCTTTTGTTTTATTTTCTTTTTTCAGGGAACATGAATTACAAATTACAAATTATTGATATAAATTATATTGTTTTATATAAAAAAAATATATTTATAAGATAAAAAAAATTAAAAAATTTAAATAATATATAAAACTATAATATAATTAATGGAAATTAAAAAAAAAAAATGAAAAAAAATAAATATTATTCCTCCAATGAGTATTGACTTTAAAACTTAAAATTTTTGTTTATTTCCTTAAACATTCTATAAAAAAATAAATACAAATATTTATCTGTTCTTCATATTCGTTTTATCAGTTTAATATTCATTCAAAAATTCATCAATATTTGATTTGAATGTCCATAAAAGAAGATTGATTATGACAAAAGAATTCAAGAATTCCTCTTTAGATTTACCTTCTTTCAGACTTACATTTTGGCCCATCAAATTCACGATTACATAAGGTTGGATCAGTAATTTCGGTTTATATTATCATGTAATTTATGAAATGGGCATATTTCTTTTATATGCATCTGCTTCGAATTTAATGGGGCTCCTGGAATTAAGAACAATGAGAATGAAATTCGATTTAACGTATTATGCAATGATTTTCTCTTTCTTATCTTTTTTCTTTTTCTCTTCTTTTTATTGCCCCATTACTTTTTCTGTAATATCAATTGATTCTTACTTATATAAAATCATTCGTTTGTTCAATTATTTATGAACAGTTTTAAAATTGTAAAATATATTACAGCACTTTATTTATTATTTAAAAAAAAAATTTTAACAAATAATACATTGAAATTTTCAAATTTTTTATTTTTCTACATAATTTCAAAAAGAATCTTTTCAAATTTTTTCAAATTTTCAAATATGATTATATATTTTATTTAAATATTAGTTACATCACAAATTGGATTTTTATAACTATTTTATTACTTCTACCAATTATATTCTTTTATATTTCTACAAATTTTAAGATTTATAAATTCCTATTAATTTTATTATTTATTACATATTTTTTATTACTTTTGCATAAAGCATTTTCTAAATCAAATTTTATTTTTCTCCATCCACATATGTATGTACTGGCTTACTCAAATAAACTCACCGACATTTTCAAGTTTGTAAAACCATCGCTCGCAGACGTATCACATGTCTCTGCATCATCCTCGTCACTTTAATTGCTTTACGACACAGGGAAAGACGCGTGTCAGCCGGCACTCGTGGATTTATCGCGCGTACCGCGCGTGGACACGAGACAATTTATGCGAAACAGAGGTGAAACTAAATACGAGCGTGTTCAACATTTCCAAGCTTGAATACGATCGGATTTATTAAATATCGAATTTCGCTGTAGGGAACAATCGATGATGATCACTGAAGAGAAATTATCCACTGTAAACGATAAATTTTGAAATTAAGATGCAAGATTTCTTCAGAATATATTTCTAAAGTTGTAAATTGACAATTCTAAATATTATAAATAAATATTGTAAATAGGAATATAAATATCAACGCTTAATTAAAATTATTAAATAATAGATGACAAAAATTTGATATACAATTTAATTTAGGTTAATTTAACTTTAAATTGATTTCTAAAATTTACTCAATATTTCATATATCATATAAAAGTATAAAAATAAATTCTACAGTCAATAATCCAATAACAATATTCTAAATATTATATGCTTCGTAATATCAAAAAAACGTATTTAACGTTTATACATGTATAAGATTTTCAATACTTATCTTATTTTGTAAAAGAATATATTTATATCATTTGTTACTTTTGTACACATATTTGCATTTAAATTAAGCAACACATATTAAATAATAACCTCACTAAATATTACTTCAGTCTCGACAAACGAGAGAGGAATGAAGTATATTCCTACTTCACTACATGTATTATCTATTTACATTGGATTTAAATCCGTTTGCTCTACAATCGAATTACATCACAAATGGAATATATATATATATTTCTTCCATTCTTAAAAAGAAGATTAATGAAATCTATTTGCTATGTTAATAAATATCTAATAGATAAATTTAATTAAATTAATTCTATTCATTTCTAATTTATTTCTAACTAAAAATAATTTCTTATTAAAAAAAAAAAAAAAAAAA